GCCCCCCTGTCGTTTTTATATCATCACTCCCGTGTGCCTGGGTTACAAATTGATTTGCGCATCGCTTAGAGGTCGGTTCTGTAGATTTTTGTAGTGATTTAGGCTGTTAGCTCTGGATTTTATGGTAATTCAGGTTGTTGCTTATACGACTCGTTTTGCAGTTTTAAATGATAACAAATCAGATTGGTACGGTTATTCTTGGCGTAGCTTTACTACTTTCATTACGGGATATCTACGGGCGGCATTCCAACGATGATGACAGCGACGATGATGCTGCTGCTTTCAAAGACGAATTCGGCGATGAGGTACGTCGTCTTCTTCTTTTCCCTCAATTCATTTCATTCCTTATCACCCCATAGCGCTGCTCCATCCATCTGTGGTCCAGTGCTTTGCAGGGTGCCGTTCAGTAATCCGCTTTGTCCATCTGTTGTCTCTCTCTCATCCTCATTTCCTGATCAACCCAGCCGGTTTTTTGTCTCCGATCGATGGTTATTATTGTTTTTAAGCTGCTGCAGCAACAGTTTTGTACCTTTTCCTATGCGTAACTTGGACGATGATTTTGGCGTGAAAATGGACGAAGCTGGACGATGCTGACGCTTGCTGTTCTCATTGGAAGCTAAGGGATGAAACACAGACTGTGTCATAAAATGTCTTCAAACACATGACATTCAAGTGAAATTCTTCTACTCTTCTATTTTATCAAGCAAAACACATTAAACATAAAGCATAAATCAAGCAAAACATAAAACAGCGGGCTTCAGATCACGAAGAACACGTTGAAACAGACACATTCTGAAAATCACAACAAAATCACTCATGCTTTTATACTCATCACATCCGGAGAAAATAACTACTGGGGATCAAGAGATCTTGCTGCGGTTCGGCTTCTGGGTCGTTCTGCCTTTTTCCTGCGCACCTTCATTTGCTCTCCGTATATAACAGATCGTATGGAGATTCAGGTGACGCATTTAATAAATTCTAGCTTACTTGTCAACTTCCAAGTTACTTTAAATTTATTACGAAAGTAAAGTCAAATTTGCCCTGTGCACCCTACTGGGGTATTAGCATCATTATCTACTTTGAAAGGAATCAGATCCGCTTTGTCCATCTGTTGTCTTTCTCTTTCATCCTCGTTTTCTGATGAATCCAACTAGTTTTTTGTCTCCGATCGACGGGGAGTCACAGCGTTGGAGATCACGTAGAAAGATGTTCAGCACAGGCTTGGGGCTTCTGGGAAGTGCTTCTGTCAGAAGGAAATGTTGAGTAGGTAATCTTTTCGTGAGACACAGCGGCCGTTAGAGCGGCCAGAAGACTTACCACTAGGCGATCCAGCATTGATCAAAGCAGCCAAAAAAGTAGCTAGCTGTAGAGTTGGCAACTTTTTTGCAATTACAGCTGGTCTAAGTATTCTCAGTTATCGCGTAATATATCAAATAGTGATTAATGGTTTTTGTTAAAAACAGGTTAAAGATATCAACTGCGTTACTATGACGCAGTACCCCTATCCCTGGTTCAAACTTTTACCGCCCCACCCTCACTGAACTTCCGATCTTTGTCCCCTGGGGTATAAAAGCACTTGTCCCCATCGCCGGGATCGCCACTACCAATTTTCTACTGCGACTTCTACACAATTACTATTCCTATTCTGGGGAGTTTCGGCTCGCCAGAGCTTCACCTACTTTTTATACCTTATCCTTTTACTTTATTATGTATAATAAACATGTATATAGGGCGCGACATGATACACACACATACACACACACACACACCATACAAACGGGACACACACTAGTCCAATAATCTACTAATAGGATCGCGATGCAGTGCATTATATGGATTAAAGATTGAAAAGAAGATATCAAGAAAAGAAGAAAACAGAGAAAAGGAGGAAAAAGATAGTAAAATGGGCAAGGTGTCTATAGAAATATTTATAACAGGTAAGAAATGTTTCGGTCCATTAAGTCGTGTACATTTCTTACCGTTACCACAATTCTGTCTGAGCAGACCCGGCAAATTTCCCATCTGCCTCTAACGTTTATTTTCTGCATTCATACTTGAATACTTGAGCAGCAGCTGTGTGTCATCGACGTCTGTTGTCACGCCATCGATGCAGCACTGGCGATTTCTCCATTCAACTCGTTGTTGCGCTCTTCGAGTCCACGTGGTATGGCACAGGCGTGCCATGGAATCTCTCCACCACACTGGTAGCCTCCCCAGTGTTCGCTTGACCGTACGTGGGTACCATTCCATTATCCGCTTCGTCCATCTTTCATCTGTCATCCGTACCAAATGATCAGCCCACCTCCTCTTACTGGTGCACATTGCTTCAGTAATTTGTCCATATCACACCATAACTTATAATTAGTGGTTTGTCAGTATATGCATCTGTTTTTTTTTTTTTTTTCCAGAAAATTGGCGACGAGAGTGATGAGGTTCGAGTGAGGCAAGGATCATCGCATTTCACTCATCCCCCTCATACAACAAAGAAATTGCCCAGTATGAAATTCTTGTTCTGGTCAGTTTTAGTCCTTTTTTCTTTGTTAAAAATGGGAAAATTGATGTCTGATCTTTAAAGTTTTGGTTATTTAGATTCAAACATACAGAGGAGAAGTGAAAAATACGAGAATTTCACATGGTGCAAGGAGAAAGAGGAGAGCAGTAAAAAATTATACACTGTGAAAGAGATAATGAGCGCATATTTTGAACCAAAAAAAATTTGGATGACAAAAAATTGGAATTCTAAAAATCCAGATCTTCCCCGCATGAAAATCAAAGGCAGTCATGGCACAGGCATGCCAACAGGGCTATCGTTGGCCCTTGCTTTCGAGAGTTGCTTAGAAGTAAACTGATGGTTATTGTGAATCGTAAAAATGGAATTTTAGTGTATCATGTGGATATCGACAAGCATTCGATGAATTTTCTCGTTTCGTCCACGAAAAATATCCATCGATGCAAATCGACGGCTCAAATTACTCACCAGCTGCGTGGAAAAGCATACTGGCACAGGTGAGCAAGCCATACCAGTATATCCTTGATGGACCGAAACATTCCCATTTCGATATTAATTTATGCGTTTCGTGCTGTGTAACAGCGTTACAAAACGCATATTGTCACGGAGTTGTCTCTATGTGTTTGTGTGTGTGTGTGTGTGTGTGTGTCCGCAGCAACTTGTCTGCAACTTTCAAGTCGGGGACCACAAAAGCTAGGGAGCTGAAAATTTAGGGGAACGTTCCCCACTTACGTGTGACTCCGCAAATTTAAATTCAGCTTTCCCTTGCCCGCGGATAACGCGTACGGCCCTGTGAAAGTTTTTTACGGGTAAACTAATATATCGGGAGCCACGGAGTTTGGAAGGCTGAAATTTTAGGGTAATGACCCCCTGCCCACGCTCAACCTTGCCCATTCAAATTCAGCGTTCCCGCGCCCTTTAGTATCACCTACGGCCTCGTGGAAATTTTGGCGGGTAAACTATTAACTCGGGAGTCACGGAAAGATATTCACCCCTCAGGGTTTCGAATTCAGCTTTCTTGAGCTGA